AATGGAGGAGCATCCATTTATTATTTATCAAGCCTGAACAAATGTGCTTGCTTTCATGGGATTGCATCTTCCTGCAGCACGTGTTTTAGCCATCTGGAAGCATGAGAAGAGGATGCCCACTGAGGATGTGCAGAGACCTTTGCCAGAGGGAGCAACAAGGCAGGTGCAGAGAAGCAAGGAGGCTGCTTTGCTGGCCTTTAGAAAGCAGCACGTGGCTTCTTGAACTTGTTCAAGGGGGTGTTGGAAACTTTGTTGAATTAAAGCATCCTTCTGATGTTATTTTTTTCAGTTTTCATCCTGCTACTCTAGGTGGAAGAAGGTTGTTAAAAAATCAAAATTAAACAAAGAGAATCTTAAAATTTAAAACCATTAAATGTCATAATGTAACTGTAATTATCCCTCATCCAGGATACATGCTGATTGCAGGGTGTCATATTGCTCTTTCATCTTAAAAAAGTCCAATCCAATATAATGAAAGAATTATTTCTAGTCATTCTGAAGCAAAAGCTACTTCATTTTAAGGAATGAGAAGAGATTTACCTCTTGAGACACAGAGGAGATGTAGTCCTCTGACAATGGTAAAAATATGGTAACAAACATTAAGGAAGGAATTTCAAAGGCAATACTTGGAGGAAAACAATATGATCATGGTCTTTCAGACCTTTACAAGCCATCTAAAGAGCCTCCTTACCGAGAAAAAAGTCACACTGAGCTTCACAAGATTTCTACATGCTCCTAAATAAATTGCATTTTTGTAACACTAGACCTTCCGTCTCTCAATGTAGTCTGCTTTCTTTCAACCCCTGAAGACATTTTTGCTGTATCTTCCTTCCAGGATTCCCAATATCAGACACAACACTACCCAACTTTGCTTATTGAACTTCAGTAAGAAGAGATTGAGATCCAGTTATTGAATGCCAATCTTTTATCAGATCAGGTAGAAAGAAAGGTGCATTATAAAACTAGATAGCAAATAGGGAGTTAAGAAAGGAATGGGGTGGGATGAGTCATATTATGTCTGATCAAAACAGAAGTAAGACAGAACCACTCCTACTGGTCTTGCTGGAACTGGTGTTCCAAAAGTGGTAACATAAAGCCCCACTAAGCTGAGTATAACACCAAAAAGAAGACCTGATTGCTTGTTCTTACTAGGCTTTTTTGATGAGAATGTGGGTTTCAGAGTGATGTACAAATCAGTTACGACATAATGTGATCAGGTTGTACATTCATGTTTTAGCTTATTCCACAAAATATTCTGTGAATTAAAACATAAATTTAGAAAAAAAATCAAAATACTTGCAAAATATTATATGTTGCGCATGGAGGTACCAACTGTAAAGCCTTGAAATTTTAGCCTCAATATACCTGGAGTATATCAGTTGCTGAATCTGATCTAAATTGAAATAAATGAAGCCTGATAGGTATTCCTTCCTGCCTGTCTGCCTGCCTGCCTCCTACAACATATAAATGCTAGGTTGAATCACAACCCAGGAGTTTGGAATGGTCTCTACTCCTTGTGAAAGAAAAAAACTTTTTTTTTAAAAAAAAATGTTTTTCATTTTGCAGGGAATAAAAGAATTCTGCAAAGAATTCTAAGAGAGTGGAGAAGGTGGGGAGGACTATCTGTTGCAGAGCTTATTTTTCTCCCCTTCATCTTTGTTATCTTCTCAGAAAATAATCAGATGACCATGCAGTTCTGTGGTGACCACACCATGTTGTAGAATCTCCATGCCTACAGCATAACACTGCATATCCAGGTGACCATTACTTGACCATTTCCAAAGACCACTTCCTAAAACCATAGTGAAGATGGAGGATAAAAGTGGGAAGTTTGCAAACAGCAACCATGTGGAAATACCTCTTTTCTTTTCCTTTGGGAAAAAGAAGAGAACAAATACTCAGAAAGGGAAGCTGACCATCCCTCCCCTTGTCCTCTGAATTCTAATAGAAATTGGGCTTGATGACGTTGAAGCTTCCTCCATTTCAATTTTGTTCCCTTCCTTCACAAACAGGGCAAAACTAAATCAGAGAGATTTCTCAATCCTCTAATGCAAATTACAAAGGCCCTCATTCTTTGCAATCAGAAATAATAATACTAATACTAATACTAATATTTTTATCTCCAACATGAACAATGCAAACCAATCAAAAAAATAAGTAAATAAATTACCTACTGGACTTCTGGAATTTGGCCCAGAAATCTTAGTCCAAATCCTTTCTATCTTTGGACAGTTCCCTGGTAGCCTCCATTTTTAATTCCCATCATAACTTTCTGAATGACTGTAGATTGAGATGGAGCAGCATTTCAGGGCAAGATAGAGATCTGCTTCAAATCTGTCACAATGGGAAGCAGAATATAAATATGTTAAATAATGATGTTGCAGAGATATGGCAGCTGGCATTAGAGAAATCTCCTCATCCTTCAAATAGCCAAAGATTCACTATTCACAACAGGATGTTGAATGCCAGCTGAGAAAGAGGGAGGATTTGTGAAACCAAAATGGACAGGATGATATTAATATGAGATAGAAATAATTAAGACAATCTATTGAAAGAGGGGAAAACAAGAGGATGCTCTGTTCATTTTTCCATCTGTCCTCCTTCTACTTTAATGATGTTCTCCCTCAGTCATCTCTATATATTCTTTATAAGGTTACTTCACTACAGAATTTTTCAAAACCACAAATAAAGCCACTCATTAAAAGCCACAGAGCAGCCTTGCAGATCTTTTTATCATTTTCATTTATTTCAACATTTCACTGCTAGTCAGTATATACTTTTCCATTTCCATCTTCATTTAGTTTCTCAAGTCAAGCTGTCCTTCCTATCATTTTGAAAGAACAAAACAGGTTGGAGAACTCAAGACTGGCAGAAAACACAAGGGGAAAAATTGGGGGACTTAGAGCTGTAAGTTGGTGGGCGTTCATGTTTGTTTGTCGGTTGTGGACAGGGGCGTGGAGCAAACAAATAAGCAGAAAAATTATTGGACCCCCCCCCCCCCAGCTCTTATTCAATTTGATGAATGAAAATTGGCTGTAGACATTTCCTGTAAGGGAGGAGAACACTATGATGAAAAAGGCAAAAATCTGCGGAATAAGATGTAAATGACTAACAAGTTAAACTTTAACTTGTTAAAGAGTAACAAGTGAGGAAAAACTGGTCTTATCAGATGCAAAGTAGAGAAAATAGTTATGGGCTGGGGAGATTAAGCTGGATAGAGTTTTAAAGGTCAAATGTTTCTCTCAATAAATCAATAGGGTTGGAAGCACATCATGAAATACTGCAGAATCACGCTGGGTATTTTGCCCTGTTAGCAAGTTGTCTGAACCATATTCATTTATTGATTATAATGAAAACTGTTGGCTTGATTGAAATCTAGAATTAAAAAGCAGAGTTCAAGTCACTCACTAAATAACTGCTTGTGTTATCTTCAATCTATCATGCGGAAATGCAATATTTTTACATTTTTTTCCAGAATTTTTGGCCCAAACAATGCTCCATGAGATTTAACATCCAATTCCACCCACAAAAGGCACAGGAAATGTCACTGCTCTATTTGTTGTTGTTGTTTTTCAAAAATAAGGAAGAAAGGCTCTTCAAACCACATTGAGGATACGCACTGTAGGGTAGGCAAGTGTAAAGTATGGTGTGTTACCCTAAAACCACCTTTACCTATATTTTAGTGGGATCTGAGTTAGCAGTAAATCACCTTGAAGTCACAGCAGACAGTTTAATGAAAATTTCAGCTTCGTGTGCAGCTGCTATAAAAAAAAAGACCGCTTCCATTCTTGGAATATCATAGCATACATACCATACCATATCATACCATACCATACCATACACCATACCATACACCATACCTGCCTTTTTACAAATCTATATATGAGACTTATAATGATATGTACAGTTCTGATATCTGTCATTATTGTGCAAGAAAAGGTGCAAAAAAGAATCAATCATTGGGGCAGCAGTAGCTCCCCTACAAGGAGACTATAGTCAAGGGGGCTTTTTAGCTTGGAATGAAGGAGGATGAGGGAGAACATGACAGAGGTATCTGACTATGCATGGCATAGATAATGTGGACTATAAGGAGCTTTTCTCCTCCCTAACAGACATTGTTGTGATGGTAGCCCAGTTTGGATGTTTTGTAAAGAGGACTGGATGGGTCCATGGAGGATCAGGCTATCAATGGGTACTGATATTGATGGCTATTGATCACCTCCTGAATCCTAGCTATCAGGCTGTGAAGTGACAGTGGAACTGGGCTCTGATACCCCAGTCCATACTGTGCTATCAATTCCAAAAGGCAAAAACAATATCCTGTACACCTGCCAGTAAAATTCAGTCCAATCTGATGCAAGATTTTGAGTCCCATCAAAGGATTTAAACCAGGACAATTCAAAGAGAATGCAATTGATACTTCAATGTGTAGATTCAACTGAGCTGCCCTTAGATCAAATTTCAGAGTCAAACCTTTGCACCTTTAATTTGGGGAAGCAAAGAAAAAGTTTTGAAAAAATAATTATGGATCTTTTCCTTTAAATTTCATTTTACTACTGCTGTAGGAAGCAGCAGTTACAGCATTCATTCACAAGGCCTCCCTTGGGTAAATACATCCACATGATGCATTTTTAAGGAAATTGATGCTATTTAGTTAGCAACTCTGTGTTGCATGCATTTAATTTTAATTAATAAATAAAAAATAAAATGTTAAATGCATGCAGGTGGATAAGGTGGCAGAAACCTCATCAGTTCACAGGTGGACTGGATGGGAATGGAATCCCTTCATCTCCTTAGTTAAAGCAATATTTATGAAATGAAACTGCACATCAGTAAAATCTTATGCTTTTATTTTATACATTGAGGAGCAGTTGGTAGGATACACATATGAAAGCTTAAAGGATGGATTTAGTGTGGCTGTTTTTTGTTTTTGTTTAAGAAAACTGCAGTTAAATTCAAGAAATGCAGAATAAAAAAGTCTATAGCTGTAAATCTGCACAGTAGAATAATGACTGGGGGAGACATATTCAGTGGAAAAGCAAGGGCTGTCCTAAAGAGCTGAGCCTTTTGAATGAGCTGTTTCAAATCTCAGCTCAGATCTGACCTTCATCAAAGTGCACAGGCCTTCCACCTGCACAGCGGACCACAATGAATCTTTGTGAGGTGTTCTCAGAGTACCGACAAGGTGGGCGATTGGAGCCTCCTCTGTGTGTGCAGGTGGTGACTGAGAATTGCCTACGGCTACGCCGGAGCCCATTACCATAAGGTAGACCCCCAGAACCACACACATTATTGATGTTCTTCTTGGTGCCATGGATGAAGGAATTTTTTGCCTTGCAGTTTGGCCTGGTCATCCCCCGTCTTTGCATCATGGTATCACAGTAGCGGTTTCCAACGTTGCTCTTCGGATTATCATAGTGCTGTCTCAGGAAGGTTCCATAATCAGGGGCATAGGCACCTGGTAAGAGCACCACAGCCATAACTAAGAAGAGTACAAATTCAAATCCTTTAAGAGGCATTCTCATGTTTGCCGTGCAAAAAGGACACCTGAAAAAAGTAGAGAAGATAGATGAGTGCTTTGATGGACTACCAGGGGCCCTAATGAATGTGGAAGGGATGGGAAGTAAAATGAAGTGGTCCTCAGTGATAACTTTGGTGCAAATATTGTAGGACTCAACTTCAATTATTCTCATACTAAAATTGACTTCTAGATTATATACAGCTGCCAGTATTTATTAATATCTCATTACTGATCTGAAGCTTCTTCATCACTGATAATATCTGGATTGTGGAGTTGCTGGTGATCTTTCAGCTTGGTTGTTTGCTGGCCAACATTTCATTACCCAACAAGGTTTCCTGAGACGTCGGGCAGCAAACAACCAAGCTCAAAAACCACCAAGAACTCCACAGCTCAACCCTGAACTAGAGATATTCTCTTCGATTGGAATATCCAGAGTTTATTTTACTTTTAGCTCCAAAGAGCTACAGTTACTCTGCATGGTTCACAACCATTTAAGCTAATGTGGCATAGAGACAAGGTGGTAGAGTACGACTGGGGATACTCAGCTTCAAGCTTTCTCAGCCCAACCTACTTCTCTGGGTTATTGTGCTGGGAGAAAAAAAAAATGGAGAAAGGACCATTAGAAATGCTGCCTTGAATACCTAAAGGAAAGGCAAAGACAGAATGGAACTCTAACAAACAAGTACATAATGAAATACACTTCCTGACACCTATGAGACAATAGGTAGGCTGAGAAAATGGGTAGTTGGCCAAGATAATCACACCTGATTCCCATTATAAAGCAACCATAATGAATTTTCTAAACCTGCAGAAACCAAATTTGGACTTGGAAACTAAGGAGGGTCAGCAGGTCTGGTTAGTATTTGGATGTGAGAATCTATCACCTCTCTGTCTGTCTCTCTCTTATCTCTCTCTCTCCTTGAAGAAGGCAATGGCAAGCCACTTTTCTATTGCTGCCAATAAAACCATGTAAACAAGTCTGTGTAGTTAATAGAATTCAAGGCCACACTGAAGGAAACTTTACTTTTATCTCCTAAAAAGTGACATGAGAACTACAAACATGTATTTTACTGGATCAGTACAATTGATTAGTAAAGTTGGAGAATAAAGGGTAAAAATAATTAAGGGACTAGAGCAGTTTTCCAATGGGGAATATCTAAAGAGTTTGAGGCTTTTTAGCTAAGAGTGGAGGTGGCAAGAGATACACTGTCATAGAGACAACTATGTAATTTTTGGCAGATTATAGAAAAGCTGCCTTCATCTAAGAAATATTTTTTAACTTCCCCGTCTAGGCAGCAGACCAAGGATTTTCTGGTAGTCTCCTTTCCAAGTACTAAACAGGGTAAACTGGCTTACTTGCATGAGCGTGTGTGTGTGTGTACATACACATACATACAGATACACAGATGCACACATATATAGATGCACAGAGAGACTTATATGTTTTTATCTATATTTATTTTTTCCTGTAGGTGATACAGAATTGAAACGAAATTTCCAACCTGCTGTAAGGCAAGAGAAGGCTACTACAACAAAGCATGCAAGAAAATAGAATCTTAGAGGAAGAACACATTCAGCTCTCCAAAATGTATGCAAATAAAGAGAAAATTCCAACCTCAGACTGGAGTGCTGAAACAACTTGTTTAGATCAATATCCAATCAGGAATAATACAGTTCCTTGGAAGCTCAAATGAGAAGACTATGACTTGAAATATTACAGAGACAACATGCAAAGGGAAAGATTATTAGTGAAGGTGGAAGGTAAGGTAGAAGGAAGACACCAAGCAGTGAGGCTGGCACTGCAGCAGATTGTTAATACAACAACAGCCATGGATGCCACTTTAGCAACGCTTAGCAGCAGCTTGACTGAAGTAGGAACACAGTTCTAGACAAATCTCCGCAGGGTCTCCATGAGTCAACCTAGATGTGATAGCAGCCAACAATGACAAT